ATTACCATTATTGGTCCTGCTTGAGAAGTTGACTATTTTAATTAACTATTTAGTTTTTTGAATATTTTAATTTTGCTAGAATAGTTGTGTTTGGGAAGATAATTGTTTCACTAAAAGTGAAATGATTATGGATTATATGTAATATTTTATCTTATTCGCTAATTTAACCGATTTTGTCTTTATTGACTATTTTGGCCAAAAATACTAAAAAAATAACTTGCCAAATAGGACCATTGTAAGTAAATTCATTTTTAATCGTATTTTGTTTTAAAATAAAAAGCCTACAATAAATCACATTATTATATATAAAAAATATTTATGAATTTTTTTATTATTTATATAATATTATTGGGAGCTTTTTTAATAAATCCATTTTCTAAGAGCTTTATTCCATCCAACCCATATTCTTTTTGACTATTCCATTAGGTCCAATTTGAGATAAGAAGACCAAAATACCATTTTCATCTACTTATGTTCCATTTAGTTCACATTATTTTCTTATGTTTTAATAAGTCCTATGGGTGACATAACTACCACAATACCCCTAATGTGAATGTTCACACCGTCAATGTGAATGTTCATATCGTCAATGTGTAGGGGCCCGGCCCATGTCGATCCTCGTGGGTGCCCGGAAAAATTCGAGTCGGGCCGGGCCGGCCCACAGGCCAAAAAAATAGGCCCGGGTCGGCCTGTTGATAATGTGAATAATCACATTGACAAGTTAACATTCACATTGATAGGAGTGTAAAATTGGCCCATGGCTCATGGGCGGCCCGAAGCTAGCCCGCCGCCCGGGCGCGGGCCCAGGTCGGCCCGTTCATAATGTGAATATTCACGTTGACATATTAACATTAACATTGATAAGAGTGTACAATTGGCCCGTGACCCGTGGGAAGCCCGAAGCCCGGGTCTCGGCGGGCCCGGCCCGGCTCGTTGACAATGTGAATATTCATATTAACATGTTAACATTCACATTGATAGGAGTGTAAAATTAGGCCGCAGCCTATGGCCGACCCGAAACCCGCCCGCGGCTCGTGGGCTGCCCTGGGTGGGCCCGGCCCGACCCGTTGATAATGTGAATATTCATATTGACATGTTAACATTCACATTGATAAGAATATAAAATTAGCCCGCGCCCCGTGGCTGCCCGAAACCAGCCCATGGCCCGTGGGCGTCCCGGGGTGGGCCTGGCCCGGCCTGTTGACAATGTGAATATTCACATTGACATGTTAACATTCACATTGATAAGAGTGTAAAATTGACTCGCGTCCCATGGGCGGCCCGAAGCCCATGGATGGCCCAGGTTTGGGTCCAGGCCTACCCCGAGCCGCGGGCGAGCTTCGGGCAGTGGACAAATTTTACACTCCTATCAATGTTAATGTCAACATGTCAATGTGAATATTCACATTGTCACGGGTCGGGCCAAGCTCGCCTCGGGTTGCGGTCGGGCTTTGGGCCACCCACGGGCTGCGGGCCAATTTTACACTCCTATCAATGTGAATGTTAACATGTCAATGTGAATATTCAAATTACCAACAGGACGGGCCCGCCCCGGCCCGAGGTCGGACTTCGAGCTGCCCACAGGTCATGAGCCAATTTTACACTCTTATCAATGTGAATGTTAACATGTCAATGTGAATACTCACATTGTCAATAGGCTGGGCCGAGCCCGCCCCGGGTCGCCCACGGGCCATGGGCGGGTTTCGGACAGCTATGGGGCGCGGGCTAATTTTACACTCCTATCAATGTGAATGTTAACATGTCAATGTGAATATTCACATTGTCACGGGTCGGGCTAAGCCCGCCTCGTGCTGCGGTCGGGCTTCGGGCCACCCACGGGCTGCGGGCCAATTTTACACTCTTATCAATGTGAATGTTAATATGTCAATGCGAATATTCACATTGTCAACGGGTCGGGCCTGCCTCGGGACGCGGGCGGGCTTTTGGCCGCCCACGAGCCGCGGGCCAATTTTATACTCTTATCAATGTGAATGTTAACATGCCAATGTGAATATTCACATTGTCAACGGGCCGGACCGGACCAGGCCCGCCCCGGGCAGCCCATGGACCGCGGGCGGGTTTCGCGCCGCCACGGGATGGAGGCCAATTTTACACTCCTATTAATGTGAATGTTAACATGTCAATGTGAATATTCACATTGTCAACGGGCCGGGCCGGGTCAGCCCCGTCCTGAGCTGCTGGCCAATTTTATACTCTTATCAATGTGAATGTTAACATGTCAATGTGAATATTCACATTGTCAACAGGCCAACCCGCCCCGGGCCACCTATGGGCCGCGGGCGGGTTTCGCGCCGCCACGGGACGGGGGCCAATTTTATACTCTTATCAATGTGAATGTTAACATGTCAATGTGAATATTCACATTGTCAACGAGCCGAGCCGGGCCGGGCCTGCCCTGGGCTGCGGGCGGGCTTTTGGCCACCCATGGGCCGCAGGCCAATTTTATACTCTTATCAATGTGAATGTTAACATGTCAATGTGAATATTCACATTGTCAACGGGCTGGACTAGGCCCGCCCCGGCCCGCCCATGGGCCGCGGACGGGTTTCGCGCCGCCACGGGATGCGGGCTAATTTTACACTCTTATTAATGTGAATGTTAACATGCCAATGTGAATATTCACATTGTCAACGGGTCGGGCCCGCCCCGGCTCGCGGGCGGGTTTCGGGCCGCCCACGGGCTAATTTTACATTCCTACCAATGTGAATTTTAAAATATGAATGTTCACATCATTAAATTGCTAATCGTTCAAAAAATATTTATAAGGGTATCAAAATTAAATATAAGGGCATAAGTGTCAAGAAAATAGTGTAAATCAAGAAAATGGACTTTATGGAATAAAACTATACATACATGGGACTAAATGGGTTAAAAAATTCATTCATGGAATTCTTGGGTTAAAACACTTCTAAATTGGACTTATCAATAAAAATCCCAATATTATTTCATACATGTGATTTTTCACTTTTGTAATATTAAATTTTTTTTTCCGGGTCTTACCGTTTTGTTTCGGTTTAGGTGTTACGAATTCTTATAATTTTGTTCCGATCCAGCTTTAATAGAGCCTCCTACACTAGACAGAAGTGTCCTTTTAACAGAGCCTCCTACACTAACATCACATGAAAGTGGTTGTTATGCTTCGAATGATGTACAATTATATGTATATTAGTTATTGAGATATGTAATGTTAGGGGAGTTTGCGGTTCGATTATGGTCAAGAAATCTCTAATTTGTTTTTCATTTGTCGGATGGGCGGATTGATTGAAAGAAAATTAATCCGCATCCGTCTGCTGAATTGACGGATGAATGTAAATCGGTTTGACAATTTAAACGTTTACAAATTTTGAACATTATACAACAATTTGTCAACAATTCTTTTTTTGGATAATAATCCAACTCAACATAACCAAAATATTATCAAGTTAATTGTCAAATACCAATAATAAATACATATAAGAAAATCATGCATTATTAAAACTATTTCACTACTTTTTTCTATTCAAAAACTATTTAATTTGATTTTTAAAAAGGGATATTTACCAATAAATCACATCCCACAAACAGTTGCACCATTTGGTCCCAACGGTGTGTCTGTTGTTCTAATTGGTCCTATCAGTGGGAGAATATATTCCTGTTGATCCTATTTCCCTTGTTTGGTAATATGTATTGGTCATTTATACCCTTCTTGTTTTCTCGTGGCTTGTTTTTTGTGGGTTTGGTTGTGGATATGGAAGTACAATATGTTTCCTTCATTATGTGAGGGTTTTCTGGCTGATGTAACGGTGTACTGTGGTGATTTGTGTGTTTGTGGATAGACGGTGATTCGTAATTCCGCCGGCAGTAGTTCTGGTGTGCTGGAGGTATTGTTTGTTTCGGGTGTCTTCGTGTGTGTCGTCTATCTATTTTAATTACATGGTGTGCCATATAATGTTCATATTGTAATCGTTGTTCCCCATTTGTATGGGGTTAGGCACATTCGTATTCAATATGCTAACGGTTTTTGGCCGTATAACTCGTTGTCGAGATGACACATTGGTGTCGTTCATTGCTGTTTTGGTTATTCTAGTTTTGTGTTATTGTGTAACTTTATACGATTTTTACCGTCAATATGTTTTGTAATTCTGCCGGTAGTAGTTCTGGTCTGCTGGAGATATAGTGTGTTTCGGGTGTTTTCGAGTGCGTTATGTATCTATTTTAATTGCATGGTGTGCCATATAATGTTCATATTGTAATTGTTGTTCCTCATTCGTATGGGGTTGGGCACATTTGTATTCACTATGCTAACAGTTTTTGGCCGTATACCTCGTTGTCGAGATGACACATTGGTCTCATTCATTGCTGTTTTGGTTGCTCTAGTTTTGTGTTACTGTGTAACTTTATACAATTTTTACCGTCAATATGTTTCGTACATAGTGGCGAGTATTTTGTGTGTGTGATACACATGGATGGGTTTTGCGTAGGGCACAGGGATGGAAGGGGTTGTTAACACATATTTGTATGTTACAGTGTGTTGCTTTGCCTTTGTTGTAATCTAAAACTATGTGTTACATTGTTTGCATATTGTAGGGATGGACGCTCATGTTATGTTGGTGTGTTGTTACCGCGATATGAACGCCACCATTAACTTCCAATTTTTATTTCGATTTGATGATTTGGTTAATTGTGTTCGTCAAAATTTTGATGGTCTTACACATGCTGATGTATGTTTCTTTTTCAAGATTCTGGGATACAACTGTTTCAAATTACAAAATGATGTCGATATGGAAAATATGGTATCCCTTACACGGTCTTTCCATTTAAGACATATTGACATCGTCATTGAAACTATAGTCACGCAAAGTTCAAACAGTATTGGCAACGCAAATCGGAAACCATGTAATGTTACATTCAGTTCGTCGAGGAAATGATATGAGTTGGACAATGATGATGAACAAAATGATTTACTCCCCAAATTTTGTCCTCGTGTTGACAAAGTTTTCATGTCTGCTCCATGGGCTAATGGCATCACACATGTGGGTCAAAGTTTTGAGGGTGGGGCTACTGAATTTCGTAATGTTCTTCGTAAGTATGCGGTTGAATGTGGATTTCGGTTCAAGTATGTGAAGAATGACTCCGTTCGGATTATAGCTGTGTGCACAATGAGGGAATCAAAAGGACACATGTGGTCTATACACGCACGAGGTCTGCATGCTGATGAGTTCTTTTACATTCGTAAGTGGAATACAGAGTGCAGTTGCGGTGTTGCCATTCGAACACCAAAAAACCTGAGGGCTGGGTCTGATTTAGGATCTGATGTTATCTCTGAATTAGTACATGACAAACCCCTCACACGACCGTCTGACGTTGTTTATGACTTGAAGAAAGTTTATGGATTAGAGATAAGCTACCGAGTAGCATGGTTGGACGTTAAGAAAGCAAAAGGCGAGATGTTCGGTGCACATTCCATTTCATTCAATCAATTACGGTGGTATAGTAATTTTGTTATGGAAAACAATCCAGGCAGTTACATTAACATTGACTATAATGACCAAAATCACCGGTTTGAACGATATTTCATATCATTCAAAGCCTGTATCGATGGTTTCAATCATTGTCGCCCTTTACTATTCCTGGATGGTTACCTTCTTGAAGGGGAAATTCAAAGGCACCTTGCTAGCTGCTACTTCAAAGGATGGCAATCAAGGTTATTCTCATTCATAACACACACACTGTTAAATGGCATAATTTGTTTCATTTGTTAACTCAATGATGTTTGTGTCCTACCCATTTACTGAACCCACTATCGATTTTGCACACAGGCTTATTCTTATTGGCAATTGCAATTGTCAATTCGGAGAACACAACTAATTGGGCTTGGTTTTTGGAACACCTTGTGAACGTGGTCAAAACAGACAAGACGATCACATTCATTTCAGATCGACACACAAGTGTACTCGAATCTATTCCAACCACATTTCCATATGCCCACCATGCATTTTTCTTGCAACATTTGCAACGAAACTTGCAAGACAAGATACGATACACAAACAAGATGCACCGTGTCAGCTTGCTAAGTAAATTTTGTGAATGCACTTACACACCGACCATAACAACATTCAATTCCAACATAGAAAGGTTTAAGATATCGAGCCGACAAGTTACAACAGATTTTCTGTAAGATTTACCCCCGTCATATTGAGCAAATGCCTACTTCCGGTACGCACCCAATCACGAATATAGTGAACCAACTTAATTTCATATGATGCCCGACTTAATGCATTTTTCGTTCATAATTACATTGAACTATTTTTACATTTCATCTTTGTGTTTTTAGGGGTGACCGATATGGCGAGATGTGTTCCAACGCTGCTGAGTCATTCAACTCATGGATTCGTGAGGCACGCCACCTCCCAATCACACAGATGGTTGACAGCATTAGAACGAAAATTATGGATCAAATGTCAAAACGCCAACGTAAGGTAGCCACGTGGCCTAGAGTTCTTTGCCCCAAATGGAGTCCCAGTTGGTAAAAGCATACAACAAAGGCAGGGTGTGGCTTGTAAGCCAATCTAATGAGGATGTGTACGAGGTCCATTCATACCCATCAGTACTTGTGGATGTTGGCAGGTGGACGTGTTCGTGTTTTCAGTGGCAGATTAAACAGTTTCCATATGCACACGGATTGGTTGCAATCCGTAACAGCAGACGAGATTTGAATGACTTGGTTGAACCATATTACCATGTGTCCAAATATCGTTCCACATATGCTTCAAGCATAACTCCAATACCGACTGTTGAGAAACCACCATTCAACACTGAAGATTTCATCATACACCCACCAGTTGTGAAACGACCACTAGGGAGGCCAAAGAAAAAATGAATTTTGTTACGGGAGGAAGAAGAGCAACAAATTCGTTGCGGACATTGGCCGTCATTGCATGCAGATGGAAATGTGGTTTCCCGTGTGTTGACAATATGGCTAATGTTTTTGTTCCAAAGTTTGTCACTACAGAGTTTTTTTTTCTCCTTTAAATAAGTGTGTGCTAAAACACCAAACATACCGTACTATTATTGTTTGCATTATTACGTGGTTTTTATTATGTAAGTTGACCAAATAATTTAGGTGACACACAACCCCAAATTGATTTAGTTTACCAAACTATTTATACTACTGTGCTGTTTTACATTTTTAAAATATTTGACAAACATAGGTATGTACTATAATCTTCCACAATTTTTAGCAACTACGAGTAGGCGTTGAATTCGTTACATGAATGGCATTACACACAAATGTGGTCCCATTCAACACATATATTCAGAACATAATATGTTAACAACATCGTTACACTTGTAATACGACACACATTCACCAAAGTGTACTACAAACGCCAACAGTTACAACCTCAACCAAAACCACCGTCAAACTTACTCAATGCACATTCATCACAATTCGTGAAATAGCATACAAAACACACAACATTGTCCACCCATACCCCAACATAAACATTTACACAACCACCACCTTCGTCAAACAACACCAACCCACATAATTGTTTTCTACACAAACTAGTGCTTGTTCAACATACCCACCCATATTATTGTGCACTAGATAAAACCATTGTTGTACAACATTATCAGCCAATAGCAGTAAATTTCATTCACAACTACCATTTTTCAATACCAAGCTTATATAAACACAGTGCCTAAGAAAGAAGCGCCAAATCGCAAAAAAAAACCAACACATTTGATATAAGCCCACATCGTATTTACTACCAAATTCTGTTTGTTCACGTATGTCCACAAAAACATAAAACCCATGCATATGCCACTTACTAATCAAAAATACTGTACGATATTGTTTTCATGTGCGCTTAAAAATAAACATTCCGACTGAATGTTGTAGACCCCTGATCATGTTATTCACAAATCCCTTAATCATATTTGCTCTCAACATAATGCCTTTGGTACCTTACAATGAATGCCCTATATCAACATGGTGCATGTACTGCCACGTCACCGCGCAAACAATAACCGCACAATCTAGCCTGCGTTGGGAAAACCCAAAGAACAATTGGTCAGTTACATTGCACAAACACTTTCAGAGACAATGAACATTTTGGTTTCAACAACAGGTTACTTACGAGTTGGCTCTCTGCTGGGGGCAGCCTTTAACAGACTCGAGGGGGTGGTTAAAGGTCTCAACGGTGCTAACCTCATCTATTCCATCCGCTCGTAACAACCGTTTCATTACAATTGAGACACGTTCCTTCTGGCACACACAAAACAACCACCCAAATTTACTTCAAACTCACAATACGTCCATAACCTTATTAAAACAACAATTACATGTGTTTTTTACCAAGATAAGCGCTTCATTGTAATGTACGTCTGATCTGCCAGACGAACGTTACCTCATTGGATTAAAATGTTTTCAACTTCCATCCTCTGCGTCGTACACCACGAGAGTCTAGTGTGCTTGGTTGCATATGGGAAAATGAATGTATCGGCAGTCCTTAGACAATGCAAAATTCTTCAGCACATAACTTTCCATGGTTTGTGTGCTGCCAATTTTGATAACATTCTACAAAACAAACATTCTTTATCAGAACATGTCCATGCACCGGTTACCATATAACAATTACACAGTACTTCTCACTATGCAAATATTGCTGAAGAAGTATGATTTGTCCGCTAAAGCATCACCCGCACAGACATGCACCTGCTCTGTCAACAGTATCTCAGCATACACATCAATTACCTGCAGTGAGACACAAAAACATTAATCACGGAAATCAACCAAAACAACTACGTACAACAACACACATTTAGAATTCTATGGAAAACAAAACAACACATGTGACACTAAAGTAATAACACAACTCACATTGCCACGGATACTATCTCTACGTACAAGCTCTTAACGTCGGTAAAATACACCGACACACCGCTGTCAACACTAGCCCACATGATAGCCCTACACATAAAACAAAAACATCATCACATTATCTCACTAAAACATGTTACGTTTATGGGAGGGAAATTGCATATATACCCACACATACCCGTCGCCATTCCGTTTGTAAGCCTTTATTATTTTCTCTTTCTTTTCAAACATCATCAGTTTCCATACCCCAAACCAGTTGTTCAACTCAAACCCAAACCATTTATTGGCAAGCACACCAACTGTGTCCACATCTATAACTGTGTCATTTACATTACCCTTATCCACTTCCCCACCCTCGTCTATGTGTGTGACTATTTTCTTTTCGCGATCATGAACTAACTGGTAGTCATATTCTTTCAGCCGTTATTCTTTTCTAACTTTGTTCTTAATATTACGCACAAACAAATTTCTCACAACTTCCCCTACATACGGAAACACTTGCACGTCAGTGTCCGACAGACTAACATCACCCACACTCCGTTCTGGTGCCGGACTAGAATTAGACACTGTGTGCATAGTTACATTTTGACCACTAACACCCGAATTTACACCAACTCGAATAGGTATTACATCATGCACCACCGTCACATCGAACCCACTTCCACCTTGGCAATGACTTGCACCAACGTTCCCAAAGTCGTTTTTCTGGTACACTTGCGTAACAGTGTGCACTTGTTAGTCAGCCAGCTGGTCCTCCAATATTGAAATTGTTTGGCGTAATTCCATGTTCTCATTTTCAAGTTTTCGTATCTCGTCATCCTTAAGCCTCATGACACACTCGAACCCACCGACAATGTTTACGACTTGCATTTCCATTTTACTCTTCAAGCTAACTACTTCATCCTCTAGCTTTGCTATTGTCCCCTCATTTGTTTTGTTCCGCACTTCCATGTCTGCCATCGACTTCAACACTTTCTGCAATTCGGTGAAACCTGCCACGTCACTCCCTACATTACGCACTGTGCTGTGCACATCATTTGATTTCACTCCCACACCATCCCCAACCGCATACGCCACACGTGCCATCCTATCAGCACAAACACCAACCACATCCGTCACTCCCACATCACAATGGTCAATTTCATGCTCATCTGTTGCCAAAATGTCACGTTCATACTCTAACCTTGATCTGTCAGTTCGTACATTCCCATCAAAAAAGCACAACACAACACAAACATCACGAACATACAAACACCCTTATCTAATAACAATTGTGAACAAACACTGCACATCACTACAGAGGTCATGTACCTGGAATTTGCTAGGTGCTGAGAAATCCAAACACTGCATTCTGTTAACTAAGGCACTAATGTCCCATATCAGAAATCTTGGAAGCATATTCTCCGTTTCGGGTTTCGCCAGAGTTGAATGTTCACAAATCCAATATTGCGTTCCAAGTAAAAAATTATTTACAATCGGCCATTACCATAACAGCACATATACGGGTATAACAATTAATACATTTGCAAAACAAACCAAAAATACATACCAGCAATGCGACAACACACCCAATGACCTTCTCCGGTGTATGATGAAAATCTTTGATTGAACCCATCAACATTTGCAGTATTGCACCAGTCCAATCATATGCGCATACGGTCTTCAGGTCATCAATGTATCGCACAAATGCCCAGCTTATCGTCTCCCCAGAATTAGCTAAGAACAGCTTCACACACATATAAAGTGTCAACTTCACTGCGTCCTCCTCATCCACCTTTCTTCGCCCACCCACAACTTCTTCTAACAATGTTTTCATGAGCTTCGATGTTATCCTTACAGTGTTATGACTCCTCCGTTGAATAAAATCCAATGTCGACCTTTGACAAGGGGAGAGATCAATATGCCTAGTACCACACTGAATCCCAAACAAAAGTCTAATATCACTCTTACATAGCTTCACAAAATTTCCACCAATGTTGAATGCATCACAATGTGCGTCGTACATCCGTATTATTTTCAAAATCGCCTTGTCAAACTTCCAAAATTCATTGTGATTCAGTTTGTTAATTCGGATAGCCTTAATCATGATCCAAAACGGAGTACTCTTCAACTGTTCAAAGTGACCAGCCCTCAAAGAAGATGTTATAAGCTTCACGATGCAAGCAATGTTTGAACGAAAGTTAATCCTTGTGGGTGCAGTGCGTGACGGCCCAGCAGTAGGCTTATTAACTTGTTCAGAAGCTTGTTGGTGGTTCACTTTCAATTTCTTGAACAATATGTGGCCCTGTATGTTAACACCTAGTCTATTTGGTTTTGCACCACATGCACCTTCAACACGCTTCTGTTCACATGAACACGTCCACGGATTTCTGCTACCATCACCATCTATAATTGCACAAAAAAACATATTAATTACATTGGATACTGCTAACACTTACCCAATGTACGCACAAACCATTAAATTTGCAAAATCCAACATACAAACATAACACACACATTTGAAACAGTTTAGTCACACGCATCCAACTCCATGTCAACTATAACAAACAGACAATCCACAATGGAAAACATAAAACATGGCAGCAACAATGTGTCAAAGATTTCGCATAAGTGTGCCATAACATAAATAAGTCTCCAATATTGTACAATCATGTCTCACAGGCCCACTAATTCCCTTAAACATTTTTTCGCACTAATTTCACCCCCAACCCAATCACACCTACTCATATCACACTGCCTCCCCTTCCGTCCCCATTTAACGCCACAACACTTGTATATACCGAACTACACATTCTCACATATCAACTTAGTTAGTCAAACTAGCCACATACCGAACATGTTGAGTCGCCAAAAACCCTTTCTAACATGTTCACTACTTGCAATCGACAACACATAAATGCCCAACACACTCCACGACAATACCATCTCACCAAAAAAACACACAATTAACACAAAAAAACAACACCACTTGCACAACATCACAACCCCCCTTCTGA